ATTGAATACAAGGCTTTGAAAACAAAATTCAGACGATGTCTTCGTCATGCTTTTAATATATATATGAAAGAACAATTCGCCGAAATAGATAAATCTGGAGACGTTGACCAAAATCTCTTCTGGAAACTATTTAAAAATCGTTCTAACAATGCTGGTTGTTGCCAAACAGAAATGAAGTACAATGGCACCACACTACGTGAACCCGAACAAATTGTAGATGCTTGGGGTCATCATTTTAGTAAGTTGTTCAATAATGAAACGCTTGAGTCGTTTGATAAAAACTTTTTTCAAGATGTATTACTTAAGGTAAATGAAATTCAAAATAAGTCTAATCAAGAGAAAGATATATTTCTGTCAGAATTGTTTACCACGGACGACATGCGGGTAGTATGTAAGAAACTTAAGAATGGCAAAGCTGGTGGGTATGATAGCCTGGTCTATGAACACATTAAGTATGGAGGTGATAGATTACTAAGCCTCATTATCAAATTGTTCAACCTCATTGTAAAATATGAGCATATACCTGAAGACTGGAAAAAAGGAACAATTTTTACTTTGTACAAGGGCAATGGAAAACCCAAAGACGACCCAAACAGTTATAGGGGTATAACTCTTATACCCGTCTTTTTTAAAATATTCGAGTCAATTTTGTCTCTCAGAATGGATTCTTTACTAGATTCAGAAACGTTTCCAAACAGACAGCAGTCGGCTTATATGAAACATTTATGTAGTCTATGCACTTCCTTTAATTTACAGGAATGCGTGAGATACAACCTAGAAAATGACTCTGATTCTTTTGTTGCATTTTTAGATAGCAAGAAAGCTTTTGATACTGTTTGGCACGAAGGGTTACTTTACAAACTGTACAAAATAGGATTTAAGGGCAAAATTTTGACTATATTAAAAAAATATTTATACCGGTTTTGTAAGTCATGTCGCCTTTAAGGGTCACCAGTCATCACCTGTCCTCATGAAGAGAGGGATCTTACAAGGGGGGTCATTATCTGCAAAAATGTACCTGGTTTTTATTGACGATTTACTAAATGATGTCGAATCGTCAGGTTAAGGAGCTTTTGTTATTGATACCAGGGTTAATATTCCCACACAAGCAGATGACATATGTTTGATCAGTAACACAAGTATTGGTTTACAAGATATGGTTACAATTTGCGAAAACTATAGTCGTAAATGGAGATTTTCATTCTCTGTTGATAAAAGTAAAATAGTTGTTTTTACAAAAGGCAGAAGACAAGTCTTAGTAAAAGATGTAAATTTGTATGGTAAAGCATTACCAGTTGTTGAAAACATTACGCACGTCGGTGTTGTTTTGAATTTCAAATTGTGTACATCGGACAGAACTGAGTCTGCATGCAAGAAACTAAAAAGTGGAACCATGGCTCTTATTCGATCTGGTGCTCATCCTAGGACCCTTAATCCTCTAACAGTTGCAAAGCTGATTAAGGCTAAAGTTTTCCCGTCTGCCCTGTACGGGTGTGAACTATGGCAACTGTCTAGAACAGAACTAAT